ATTTATCCTGTCAATAATTACTTTGGAGGATTCCGTGGAAACCTTCACTTCAGACTGTTAAGATCATTACTTGGAAAATTTACTGCTAGGAAAAATATAACCGACCAGAGAGATATGCTATTTTTTTTCCCTTTGGTTTTGCAGGGGGGCAAAGCTGTATTAGCACCCATAGTGTCCCTGCATTCTCTTATTTATGATCTTCTTATCCTTCTATGGTTGTGTAAGTTGTATTTATTTATCACATCGATTGGGAACAGTTCCCTGATTCTTTTCATTAAGTTCCATGTCTGTACCTCACATACCAGTGTGGTGGTGCTCTGCTACTTATGAGATGAAGTTGGTGGTGAGTTTAGCCTCTAACTGTGAATGTAAAACTATGTACTGGTCCTCAGTGAGGACAAAAAGTGAATATGCACGAAGACCAAACGTGGCTACAATATGTGTAAAGTGAACTTTAACAGATAAAGATAAAAGTTGCAGTTTGATTTTGGCAATATTGGATTTGATGAAAAAAAATGTAAGAAAAAAAATTAAATATATAAATATTCAGAGATATTAAAATTCTTCTAGTCTTCACCAATTTTTTTTTCCCCAAAGTAACATTTTTACTTACTCGTTGTCTTTCAGGGTGCTCTATGAAGGTAAGGAGCGTCTCATCCAGGGGTGTGAGGTCATCCAGGCAACACCATATGGACGCTGCGCGAATGTCAACAACAGCTCTGCAACCTCGCAGCGCATCTTCATCACCTTCCGCCGAGCACCACCCGTCCAGCCGCAGAATTCGCTGGCCGTGACGGACATTTGTGTCATCGTCACCAGCAAAGGCGAGACGCCGCCGCACACCTTCTGCAAAGTGGACAAGAACCTCAACTGCGGCATGGTGCGTCTGAATTTAGTTTCTTAGCTCTCTTTCAGTAGCATCACTCATGAAAGTTCAAATACATAATAAGAGTGTGATCGATCTTTCAGTGGGGCTCCAGCGTGTTCCTGTGTTACAAGAAGTCGGTGTCTGCGTCAAATTCCATCAGTTACAAAGCCGGTGAGTAAAAGTGATCAGTTTCAAAATGCCATCTTCAGCTGCTATCTGTTTCCTGCAGCTGCTGAACAGTGGTTACTGCTGTCGCGTTTTTGTGTCCGTCTTTGTGTAATTCCGTTTTTAGTCTTTGATTCATCTGATTTCACCTCACTATCTCTCTCTTTTTTTTAATGATTTGCTCATGTGGTGTTAAAGCTGTTTGCAAGAGCAGGTAGTTAATATATATATAACTGAAACAATGTTTTGTCTTAGTTAAAACTGTACTGTAATATTATGCAAAACGTAAAAGGTTGACAGTAATAGTAAATACAATATATCAGTAAATCACTTTGATCGTTGTGTTACTGACCAGTTAGATAATAGTGTTTTAAACAGTAGAAGCAAGCAGAGTGTGTGTGAATGAGAGAGGCACATGTAACCACTGGTTACACGTGGACTAGTTTAAATACCTGGGTCAGCCATCCAAAGCAACAGACTGTGCACAGGTGAGGTGTGTGAGAGTGCAGGCAGGGTGGAGATGGGTGGTGATGAGTGTCAGAGGTGAACTGTGATGGAAGGATTGCAACAAGAGTGAAAGGGAATGTTTACAGGACAGTAGTGAGACCTGCTCTCGTGTATAGTTTAAGGACAGCGGCACTGAC